AGCTGTGAAGACAGCAGGAGTAAGGGGATCACAGTCAAGGAGCAGCATGGGGGCAGGGAATGGGAAATTACCAAGACAAAACACCGCGCTCAGGGGGTTCTCACGAAACCAACCCAACGAGATTCTTGCCGAAGTGAGCAGCATCAACTGGGGACGGCGGGATCTCCTGACCAGTTATCTAGGGTGGGAGTTCTTGCCAAAAGCGGACAAGGCAGAGACAACCACAGAAGTCCAAAAGCTGAGGTCTCACTGAGAAGTTCAGGGGGCCTGCGTGGAGTTTGGTCAAGGAGAGAATCTCTGTCAGGAATCAAATTCCTGGACCCACAGTTAGCAAGCGTTTCTAGAGCAGGCTCCATGAGCAGGGCCTCCTCCTCACCACGGAGTGTCCGCCATGATGGCCCGTATGCTCCTCCTAGCAAGGACGTTAAAGGGGCGGGAGGCGAGGGGGACCCCAGTGCTGGCTTCCATGTGGAGGCAGAGGCAGCTCCTTGGTGACAGGATGTTAAGTAAAGACATTCCTGAAGAAGACTTCTAACAGAGTAAACACTGGGGCAGATGAGAGAGAAGTGTGAATTTAATGTCTGGTTCTACTGTAAGATATTTTTAAAATCCCTTTGATCTAAACTTTTAAACGATACTTTTCTCTGGATCTACAGGGCCACCTGTTTCTTGTTTCAGTTCTATGGCGTTTCCTTTAGTAAGTATTTATTATCTTTTAAATAAAAGCAAGCAGTTATATACTTTAAGTCAGACTAAAATGCTTACATGACATAATTCGTATCATTTTGCAATTAAGTAGGATTAAAAATGGCCCGATTATCAGATTCTGACCAGATGATCCTTCCCCCTGCTGCCCCATCATATCGTTTCACAATAGGATTTAAAATGACCCAATTAGCCAGGCACACTGGCTCACGTCTGTAATCCCAGCACTTTGGGAGGCTGAGGCGGGTGGATCACCTGAGGTCAGGAGTTCGAGACCAGCCTGACCAACATGGAGAAACACCGTCTCTACTAAAAATACAAAATTAGCTGGGCGTGGTGGTGCATGCCTGTAATCCCAGTTACTCGGAAGGCTGAGGCAGGAGAATCGCTTGAACCCAGGAGGTGGAGGTTGTGCTGAGCAGAGAATGTGCCACTGCACTCCAGCCTGGGCAACAAGAGCGAAACTCCATCTCAAAAAAATAAAAATAAAATAAAATAAATAAAAATGACCTGATTATCAGATTCTGACAGATGACCCCTCCCCCTGCTGCCCCATCAGTCAGAAGGTCTGGGGAGAGGAAACAGAAGAAAGGCTGGTTTGAAAAGAGAACGGCCAAGCACGTCTATATCTGCCCACAGATTTAAGAAATTCAGTCAATCTCAAACTCAATTAACACAGAGAAAACTAATGTTTATTTCCATCATAATCAAACTGCTGAAAACAAAAGGAAATCAGTACAATCTTAAGAGAAAAAGAACCAGCTTGGGCAATGTAGTGAGACCCTGTCTCTACTGAAAAAAAAAAATTTTTTTGTTTTAATTTGCCAGGCATGGTGACGCACGCCTGTGATCCCAGCTACTTGTGGAAGGGGAATCACTTGAGCCTGAAAAGTCGAGGCCACAGTGACCCATGACTGCGCCATGGCACGCCAACCTGCCCGACACAGCTGAGACACTGTCTCAAGAAACAAGCAAACAAACAATACAGTTCACAAAGGGGACAAAAAGGCGTCTCAAAACCTTACCAGGTCAATACAAAGGTGATCAATTCTTACTTATATTCACTTATAAGGTGAATACAAATTTAACCAATTCTTATCTGAAATATTAAAATGAGACAGAAATATACTTAGACCAGCTAAAACTTTGTGACATCGTCAAGAACAAGCAAACACAGAAGACTGAATCGATGCGGAACCTCAGATGGAGCTGGAATTGCTCTGTCATGTGGGCAATGTAAATTTGATAAATATAGATTTTAGTTAAATATACCATTAGGCAAATTGATAATTAAGCCAATTAGTTTTAGGTGATTTGACAGTTAGTGATTTGGCTCCAAGTGATCTGGCTTAATCCCAGCAGGAGGAGATCCAGAAAGCCAGGTCTGGAGGTTATGGAAGGCAAAGGTGGGGAGGGCCCTTCTCCGGGGGTTCTGAGAGTTGCACCCCCACGGGGCTGAGGAGAAGAGTTGGGGCCTTTCTCCAGGTGGCTGTGGTACTGAGATCCTGCAGTCAGGCAGCACAGAGTCTGGACAAGCAACACAGAGAACGCAGAGGACTTGCCATTCCTCCTGCCCCCTACCCTCCATCACGATGTGATAGTCGGGCCCACCAAATGGAGCCCCAGCACTGCTGGCTCTTCAGAACTCCAACACCATGTGACCCCTACAGGCCACCCTGGATGTGGTGCCGCCCTCTCGCGACTGCCTAAGCCAGCTTTCTCCCAGGGCAGCAAAACGAGGACACTATCCCCACCCTGCTCAGTTCTGTGTTTAAGTCTTTGGACAATTGAGGGTTGACGGAGACACATCCCAGTTCATCTTCTCTTCGTCTCCATCATTAGCTTCTGTATGTGCCTGCCGGGACTCCAGTGACAAAGCACCACAGGCCAGGCGGCTTAACAGCAGCCATTCATTTTCTTACCGTTTTGGAGGCCAGAAATCCAAGATGAAGGTGTTGGTAGGGCTGGTTTCTCCTGAGGCCTCTCTCCGTGGCTTCTCACTGTGGCTTCCCTCTGCCTTTTCCTCAGACAAGGGCCCCACTGGTGTCTCTTCCTCTTCATGCAAAGACATCAGTCCCATCAGATCAGAGCCCAACCCCAGTGACCTTATTTAACCTCCGTTATCTCCTAAAGGCCCATCTTCAAATATAGTCACATTGAGGCTGAGGGTTTCAACATATTAACCTGGGAAGGAACACAATTCACCCCCTAGCAACTTTCTACACTCCCTGTCCTTCCAGTCTCTGCAAAGGAAATCTCTATCCTTTCACCAGGCAGCCCCAGCCTCCAATCCTGGCACACCCACAAAATGAAGAGGAGACCTGCCAAGGGAGAAACTTAGAAATGGAAAAGAAAACGGAACTGGATTGTATAAAATTCAGTGGTGTGTATACCTCTTAATAGCACTCTGGCTAGCAATTTTCAACTATGTTTCCTAAGATTAAAACCATCATTTGGAATGGATCCCACTCCCAATCTAATGTAAAACAAATACCAGTAAAACGCCTGGTGAGACAAAGTAGATTATCTTGATTCCAACGGCAACTGCAACCGCTTATGGTCCTTTCAAACACACTCCCCTCGTGAACACACATTATCTCTCTGACCTTCATCCTCTTGTTTACTGATGGCAGTTGGAAGATGACCAGTTGGAGTTAATTTTCCATTTTTAATTTGCTTGTCAGTTTTATGCCATTCTGTCGGTAAAATACTCTGATATTGCTAAAATAAAAGCTACTGAAACTGTGATTGCCTAAATCAGATACTAAAGTAAGGCCTTTGGGTTTTGCGATACAGTAAAATGCAAATTGGGACTCATTTATGCAATGAAGTGAATGTTTCCCTATTTTTCCTCTGGAAGAAAGAGCCAGCCCCCATCTGCGGGCTGCCCTCAGCCTGGCGTCCTGACCTCCAGCCACCGCAAGCAGAGCAGAACTACCGTCTGTATTTTAGGATGCTGGTGGTGGGCTGCTGTCTACCCCAGCCCAGCGGTGAGAAAGGGCAGGAGGACCACAGAGCCACGCTGGGTAAACAAAGATGCTCCTCTGGGTCTCCCGGGTGCCTTCCTTTCTGCTGCTTTCCCTCCTGCATCAGAGAGAAGCTCGATGCTAAATGTTTATGGGCTTCTCACACTTCATTTGATGGAACAAGGAGCTTCATGATGGGCCTCTGATGGGCCAGGGGAATTCTAGCTTATTTGCGTTTGGGGCTTATATAAGCCATTATATAAGTCACCAGCTCATGTCCTGTAGAAACTGCACGTTTTCCCCAGGCTGCCTTCAGCTTCACAGACAAAGCCAGGCTAGAAACAGGGTCCGAGGGAAATTCACGAAGAGCCAGTATAGGTGGTCTGTAGGGTGAGGAGTCAGGCACGGAGTAATGGGGCCATCACAGGAGCGTCAGAGTCTCCCATGTGCTCCCCACTCCTGGTGGAAGCCGGCTCCAGTGGAGGATCAACGGTGCCTGCAGCTGCAGGTTCCTGGAGCGCACTCTCGGGTGGCACCGGGTCTCACCTCTGCCCCTCGCACGGGCGCAGACGCTCTGCCTGGGTCGGGAATGGCCTGGGCCGGCCCCTCCTGGCCAGCTGCCTCTCACTCAGAGTGTCTTCCCTCCTGATGGAAGTCATGCATTCCTTTTTACAGCAGATTTAGCAAAGCCAGAACAGTCCATCACGCCGCCCTTCATCCCGCTACTCCGAGATGACCTCCGTGTAGGGTCAGGAGCCCGGCCGCTTCCTCCCGGCTCCTTAGCCCCGGACCCGGCCTCGCTCCTCAGCCGCGGACTTGGGAAGCGAATGCGCCGTCCCTGGGCTGCTCCAGTCCATCCAGGTCACAGGCCGACGCGAGATTTTTAGGGGCGAGAAGGGGGTGACGGGGGTAACGGAGACGGAGACAGGGTGTGCCCAGGGCGCGGGCACCGAGAGGTCCGGCCTGCGAGGCACGTGTCCCGCCCAGCTGCGGACGGGGGACCCCACCACAGCCCACGGCCCACGACCCACGGCCCACAGCCAAGTCCGCCTCACCTGCAGCTCCCGCGCAGAGCAACCGGGTCCATGGCGGTCCTGCGGGTGCGGAGTGGAGAGCGGCGGCTGCCTCCCAGGGGCCGGGAGTGGAGAGCGGGGGCTGCCTCCCGAGGGCCCGGGCGGTGAGTGCGCACTCCGCGGAGCCCTCGGGACGATCACCGCCGCTTCCTCCTCCTCCTCTACGCGGGCTCCCGGCCCAGCCCCTAAGGCCACCATGCCGAGGCCTGGCTGCCCCGCGAGGAGAAGCGGCTCCCGGGCGCCTTCTCCTTCCCGTCGTCCATCGCGGGTGCACGTGACTCTAGCCCCGCCCCCTTCCCGTCATCCTTTCTGCTCGCGCCGGGACGTTCACTCAGGGCGTCAGACGCCGGGGCGTGCTGTTCCAGCCGGTGCGGGCCGCTGGCTGTGTCCGCCTGAGCTGAGGTCTGTAGCCCAGAGGGTTGCTGACCCTGCCATCCTCCCTGTGCCCAGCGCACTGTCTGCTGCCCTGTGTCCCCACCCTTCCTGCCCCTAGGCTGCCAGGTGGGCACGTGGCCATGGTGTCATTGCATCCCCCTGCTGACCCCTCCTGGGCCTTGACCTTGACCCTGACCTCCAGGAGGCAGTCACAGGGAGAGGGCTGCAGGGCTCACGGTAGTGGTGCCATCCCGGCCCCCTTCATGACCCCGCCTGGGCCCTAATGCTGACCCTGACCCCCGCCCTCCAGGCTGCTGGGTTCACGGTCCTCAAGCCCTCATCAGCTTCTGTCATGGCCCACCTGCCCCACCACCCTCTCCCCGTGACTGCCACCAGCAGGCCACCCTCATGGGGCCATCAGCCCCTCCAGCAGGTCAGTTCCCCAAGCCTGGCCCCAGGCACCCGATTGCTTTCCTGCCGGCCTCTCGCTGGCTTTAGGCCCCAAGAGGCCCAGGCCAAGCTCGGTTTATCACGAAATCCCTGGCAGTGTAGCTGGTATAGTTTTATTTCTTGATTGGAGGAATGAATGAGCCGGTGAATCCAGCACTGTTTATGAAAATGAGGTGTAGGGAAAAGCTTAAGTGTCTAACCATCAAAGAGTGAAACAGAATACGATGGAGGCTTTAAAAAGTTATATTGAAAGTTTTTTTAATAATTGTGGAAAATGCGTATTATAAAATGTTAGGTTTAAATGTCATGTAGTCGATGACAAACATGTCTCAGGTTTCATGCAACAGAATCAGCTCTGGAAAGCACCATCATGAAAGACCAGAGGGCACTGTTCTGTGACCTCTGCAGAGAATGGTGCCCGGCACTCTGTGCCCAGTCAGTGTTGTGTTTATGTTAGCACTAATTATAAAAATGGAGGACTTTTTCTATACATATGCTTTGACATTTTTCTCCAGAATTCGCTTCATTTCTGTTTTACTTAACAGTATAAAATACTTTTATTAAAAATAATTTTTTAAGGAGCTCGTCGGATCTTAAGAACATAAACCCAGGCCTCAGTAAACATGTCTCTCACACTGCAAGATTTGGGGTTTCCTGTGGTAGCCTCCTGGTCATAAGACCTTGAGTAGGCCCCGTGAGCTCACCCTCAGGAAGGAGGCCACAGAGGAGATGAAAAGGCTAGGGGAGAAGCAAGCCCTGGCTGCTCTACAGAAGGAAACACAGGCGCGGTTCACTCTGTGATGCTTAGGTGAGCAGGCAAACTCGTGGGCGTGACACGGAGGGCTCTGCTCAATACACACCAGCATTTTCAAAAGAGAAAGATATAGTTCGGCAATGACAGCCTGCTCTGAGGAGACATCAGCTCCCCATCAACAGAGTGGCAGCAGCCAGATTCTGTAGGAGAAAACTCTGCCTTGAGTTGGAGCCTGGGCTGGACGACTGTTCCCAGTAGGATGCTTCTACCAATAAGGAACAAACAACGCAGACTCATAACGGCCCGAACAATAAGGAAAGCGTGTCCGTTAGATTTTGTTGTGTAACAAACCATCCCAAAACTTACTGGCTTAAAATAACCACAATTTATCATTTCTCATGAATCCAGGTTTCCTAGGTGAATCTTCTTGCCTGGGCTCAGGTATGTGGCTGTGTTTAGCTGGCAGGTTCGCTGGGAACTGTTCTTTAAGGATGAAAGACCCATGGAGAGGAAGGTTCTTAGCCAGCAGAACCTTCTCCTCCATGGGTCTTTCATCCTCACAGAAGCTACATAAGACTTCTTTACGGAAGCATCTAAGACAGCAGGAGTAGGGGCCTTTTAAGGCCAAGACTCAGAACCACACAGTGTTACTCCCACTACATTCTAGGAGTCAAAGCAAGTCACCGACTGAGATTTGAGGGTGGGGAGAAGACCCCAATTCTTGATAGGAGGAGCAGCAAAGAATATATGACCGTATTTAATCTGCCACAGAAAGCATCTCAGAAGACAGGAAGTTCAGAGGTAAGATGTAGGGTGGATTTCCGGCGCCTGATCAAGCAGCACAAAGATGTGAGCCAAGGTCCAGGTCCTCCCCTCTCCTCTGCATCTTCCATTGGGTTTCATCCTCAGGCTGGGAGAAAGATGGCCGTAACAGTTCCAGGCATTACATCCAGATGCAAAACATTCAGAGATTCAGGAAGGACCATCTCTTGTAAGCATCTCCTCGGAGTGAGGAAACTTCCTTGAACCCCTAGAGTGGAGCTCCCGCCATATCTCACCGGTCAGAGCTGGGTCACATGCCCGTTTCTCCCCATCGGCAAGGGGAACTAGAGTCACTTGGATCATTGCGCCCCATCGCTGCACCAAGGTGAGAGGTTGGCTTCCCCTGAGGCGTTGGCTGTGTGGACAGCTAAACAAAGTCAGGATCCATTGGGAAGGAGGGTGCGGGAATGGAAACTCAGCGGGAAGGTAACCAGCAGCGTCCACCTGTATGAACCTTTACTGGGAGCTTTTGTTTAATCCCACGTGAGCAAAGTCACACCATTGGCTCAGGCTCTCGGCCTTACAGGCAGAAGATAAGATCTGTAGGGATAGTTCAAATCAGATGGACATTGTAATCTCCCCAATAAACACCTCACGTATCTGAGAGCGAAAAGTTGATTTTCCTGCTCAGATCCCGATTTAGCTTCAAGAGTTGTAAAACCTAATTTAATCTGACAGCCCCTACCATCTCCAGCTCTGAGGATGCCCCAGGGCACTGGCCTGCCTTCCATCATTATCTGTGATTGATGCTGAGATAATTGTCTCCCCAGTCACATCTCGGCAATAGAGTGAAATGATTTGCAGTGCGGAGGCCAAGGTTCTTTTGGCTCAAATTGTGGCGTGTTGGAGACCCGTCATCAAAATGGCTGTAGCTATGAGTGTGAACGTGCAGCTCGGTCACCACACAGTCACCTTCAGGTTAGCAAGAAAGCAGGTTTCAGTCATGGAACCTACAAGAGGTATTTTCAAGTTTTGTGGTTCATAAACCTCAGGGTTGAGCACATGGATGCAGATCAACAAAGATACGGTGCCCAAAAGAACTGGAAACACGTCCACACATAACTGGCATGTGAATGTTCCTAGCAGCACCCTTCACAACCAACAGCTGAAACATGGAAACAGCTCAGGTGCACATCCAAGGACGGGTGGACAGCAAGATGCCACATATTCATACAAGAGCATCTTAGCAGCAGTAAAAGGGAGTGAATTGGTGATGCATGCTGCAGCTTTTGAACCTTCAAAAAGTTATGCGAAATAAAAGAAGGCAGTCACCAAAGGTCACATGCTGTGTGAGTCCATTCATATGAAATGTCCAGAACAGAGGCATTTATGGAGCCAGAAAGTAGATTACTGTTTTCCGAGAGCTGAGACTGGGAACCTGGGGTGAGGTAGAGTAGGGAGGGTGATTGCTGAAGTGCATGGGGTTTCTTTCCAGAGTGATGAACATACCCTAAAATTTACCTGTGGTGAGAGTTGCACGTGTCCATGAATAAACTGAAAATGATTGGTTTGTATGCTTTAAATGGTTGAATTATATGGTGTGTGAACTACATCTCAATAAAGCTTATAAAATAGCAAGGATAGGCCAGGTGCAGTGGCTCACGCCTCTAATCCCAGCACTTTGGGAGGCTGAGGCAGGCAGATCACGAGGTCAGGAGATCGAGACCATCCTGGCTAACACAGTGAAACCCCGTCTCTACTAAAAATACAAAAAATTAGCCGGGCGTGGTGGTGGCGGCGCCTATAGTCCCAGCTACTCGGGAGGCTGAGGCAGGAGAACGGTGTGAACCTGGAAGGTGGAGCTTGCAGTGAGCTGAGATCGCGCCACTGCACTCCAGCCTGGGGGACAGAGCGAGACTCCATCTCAAAAAAAAAAAAGCAAGGCTAGGTCACATCACACTCCTAGTTACCATTGGATAGATGTCATGTTACTGCCATCTCAGTTGTGGAATTGTGGGTTCCTTTGGTCCCCAGAAACTCAGGGAGAGATGATAGGGTCACACTTGGGCACCCCAGTCAGTGCATCTCCACTGGGTCTCCGCACCCCCCATGGTATCCGCTGCAGGGGCCAGCATGGCTGTTCCTGTGTGTGTCCTGCAGGCTCCTCTGCTGGCGCCTCTTCACCGTCTCCCTGAGGCCCAGACTCTTGCCAGGGAGGAACCGTCCTGGGGATGGATGAGCACTGAGGCCTTCCTGCTTACATTTAAGCAGCCTCTACTTCTGTAGACATTGAAAGACCAGAGAGAGGAGGCTCAGGGGACCAGAGAGAGGAGGCTCAGGGAGGAATGTTGCCAGTACCAGCCCCCAGGTTTGCTTCACTTTAATTCCACAGCATCCCTCGGCTGCCCAGACTGACCGTGTTTTATTAGGAAGCGTCTCAGCTTCTCTGCAGCAGACAGACTCTGGGGTCACCCCCATCTCCTGCCCCCTGGCCACACCCATGTGTACCCCTCCCCTTCAGTGTGGGCAGCACCTGGGGCCGACTTCTAAGGAGAGCCCACAGTTAAGGTCACCACCCCTTGTGTATGGTTATGTGACTATGTTACATGGAATTGAGCTTCCATCTTTTTCTCTCCCCTTCCTCTCCACCTTCCACACACATCCCTTTTTTCTGGCTTTAAGAAAGCAAGTCAGCCAGGTGCGGTGGCTCACGCCTGTAATCTCAGCACTTTGGAAGGCCCAGGTGGGCAGATCACATGAGGCCAGGAGATCAAGACCAGACCGACCAACATGGTGAAACCCCGTCTCTACTAAATACAAAAAATTAGCCCAGTGTGGTGGTGCACACCTGTAATCCCACCTTTTCAGGAGACTGGGGCAGGAAAATCGCCTGAACCCGGGAGGTGGAGGTTGCAGTGAGTCAAGATTGCGCCACTGCACTCCAGCCTGGGCAACAAGAGTGAAAACTCCATCTCAAAAAAAAAAGAAAGAAAGAAAAAAAGAAAGAATAGAAAGTCATCACATTGGAGAACTCAGTACTCTAAGAAACAGGGTGGCCTCTGAGACCCGAGGGCAGCCTGGGGCTGGCTGCCTGCAAGAAAACACAGCCGTCAGTCCTACAACCCCAAGGAACCAAAATTTGCCAGTGACTTGAGTTAGCAGAGAATCAGATTCCTCCCCAGCCCTAACTCTGATGAGGCCACAGCTCAGGCTGACATCTTGACAGCAGCCTTGTCAGACCCTGAGCAGGGGCCCAGCTAAGGCACGGGGACTCCTGATCACAGAGAATGTGAGATAGTCGGGTATGTTGCTTGAAGCCGCTGACTTTGGGGAAAGTTGTCACGCAGCCATAGCTAACTAATCAAACTCTCGTTCAAGTTTGTTCAAATCTCACCTTTTTAGTGAATGAAGCCTGATCTCATTCCCCGTGTGACTCTGCCATGATCCCTCCTTCTGATCTTTACCTACCAAGCCCGGGTTGCCCTCTCCTCACCGTGTTCAAAACACGTCCCCTTCTCAGTGACCGGGGAATGTGTGCGTTGAGTCTGTTCTTTCCTCCTCGCCCTGCTAGACTGTGAGCTCCAGAAGGGCAAGAACCTTCTCATTTGACATTCATGTACCCCAGGTGCCTGGCAGTGCTGGCCCATCACAGATGCTCAGTCATCAGTTATTGATACCTGAGTCCACCAGCCAGGCCGTCGTTTGCCTGAGGAAATCCAGTCCCTGAGATGAAGGTGAGTCGTGGCAGAGTCGAAGGCCTCATCCACACTCCCAGTTTCTCCTGTGTTCACATCCGGTCCCCCATCCTGGCGGGGCCCCTGCCCTGTGCTCACAGCAACGCGGCCACCTCCCTCCCGGGTCACACACCTGCCACATCACCTCCCCTGGGCGGCACAGGCATACCTGGCTCTGCTCTGCTCCCACCCTGCTCTGGCCCCCATTCCCAGGCAAGTCCGGCCGCTGTCAGTGCGCCTCTGCAGGGGGCACTCCCCTCTGTCAGCACAGTCATGCTCTGTGGTGCATCTGAAGGTGTCCCTTTTAATTTTTTATTTCAACTGCACCTGTCTTGAATGCGTATCTTTCAACAAAGGGAAAAGGAGCTAGATTTGTAACTATCATTTCTGAGTGCTTCCTGGGCTCCCAGAGCCCTTCATGTTTTTCTTTGGTTGAAACCCCCGTGGCCGTTCTCTGGAGTGGGCTTGTAATCTCCATTTCTTAGGTGGGAAATGGGGGGTGAGAGAGAAAGTGGCGCGGTTTCAGAGCTACAGCGTAGCAGGGTGGGGTCAAATCCTGTTTCATTTCATTCCAAACACCAAGCTTTCAACCACTGCCTTCAACATGTGCTTTGCAGGCGGCAGCTTCTGTTTACGTATGACCCTACAGCTGCTCTGCACCCTGACCCAGGATATCCCTGCAACCTATGCAAACTGAGGTCCAGCCCTGCTGCTGGCCCATCCAGGCCCCGGGGAAGGAACCCTCATCCTGGCTGCCCTCACCGTGGCCTGTCCAGATGCAGGAGCTCCTCTCTGAATCTGGGGCTACTGGCAGGTGAGTTTCTGCAGAGACCTGCCCCCTGGGCTCTACTGCAGGGATACAGAGGCACAGCACCCCCTTCAGGGCACCAAGGTGGCCATTTCTCCCAGCCACTACAGGGTCAGCTCCTGGAGGTCTGGGTGGAGGAGGGAGGAGCAGCGGTTCTCTCTGCTGCTTGCTCTATCTACACACCTTGGGCCTCTCCGTGGGACCTTTCACACAGCCCGGGTGGCTCTGAAAGGGAGGTGGGGCACGTTCTCTCTCTACCTCTTCCCTCTGTCTCTGCCTCTGGATGCAGTGCCTTCTACCTGAGCCCTTTGCTTTGTGGGTAGTTAAGAGATTGGGAAATCCCAGAGAAGGAGAGGTCGGGAGGGGATTCACTCTCTGGAGCCCCTGTCCGGGTGCTGGTGGCTGGAGCACTGTCCTCTCTGTTGACCTTGTACTGAGGAGCCCTGAGCACTTCCCCCCATCCCTGCCGGGTGTGCCTTCTCATCTCACACCTGGAAAGGGCGGAGTTGACGCAGGACTCCAGCTGCCCCCTTACAACTCTGCAGGCCCCGTGCACAGCGCAGCCATCGGTGAGGGCCGTGTTTCTGAAGATGGAGAGGAGGGGTCTTGAGGAAGGAGCTCTGGGGGCCAGTGGGGCCCTCGCTGTTCCTCCTGAGTGGTCCATGGTGCCCAAAGCACCCGATGGACATCATTGCATTGGTGCTGATGTTGGAGATGTTGACGGACAAGCCCCGCATAGGCAGAGGTGGCTTCACAGCAGCGGGCCCGTGGGGGACCCCGCCTGATGCAGAGTCGGGGGCAGCCCTCTACGGGCGCTGCAGTTCTGCTCTTCCAGGCTGCCCTGGCTGGGCTGGTGCGCAGAAGGGGTTCCCATGGTGCAGGGACCACCCGTGTGGATCCAGCTCTCAGGGCAAAGGAGCAGGGACCCTCCCTCCTTGCCAGTGCCCAGGCCCCAGTGAGCCCCCCTGATGGCAGCTTCAGCACAGGCCCTCGGGGATGACTCCTGAGCCTCACAGGGTGCCTGCTGTGCCGCCGTGAAGCTGCCGCAGTGACCTTCCTCTGCTCGTGTCAGGGTTTCAGGAGGAGAAGGCAGAGCTGGCAGGCTTGGGTGGTCGCAGCAATGACAGAGGCCAGGGATGGGCTGTGGTCACCCAGCACCTGCGGGTAGGGTCACTGCTTCCCTTGTCCTGCGACTGAATCCCTGATAGGATGGAATGGCTGGGCGCTGAGCCTTCTCTCTGCCTCAGAGGGTCCCAGGACACCATGGGGGGTGCACCATGCTTAGTAACGGTGCTCACTGCTCTGAAACCCGGAACAGACCCACATCCAGGATGCACAGCGTGGGGGAGCGCTGGGTCTCCCCAGGCCACAGTCCCCCTCGTAAGCCCTGCTTGTCTGGGTGGGACTCTGTGCAGACTTGGGGCTGAGGGTCTCCTGGAAGAGAGTCTCAGCCGGGCACCAGGCCCCAGGCCACCCGGGAAGAGCACGTGCCCTGCACCCTGACAGCCAGGGCTCTCACCGCCACCCAGAGGATGCCAGCTTGGAGGGCACATTTGCAACTCCTGGGGACTCATTCCATTTCACATAATGTAGTTTACATTCAAAATATAAAGTCTCCTTTTGTGCTGTATTAAGGGACAAATCTCTGCTTGCACTCACTTGGAGTGAGGACAGAGGCCCTGCTGTGCCCAGCCCCTTCTGCCCGAGCTCATCGAGGAGCATGACCAGACTTATTGGCTGCTGCAGTTGCCTGCACGATGCAGGCCCCCATGCCTCCCCCGTGAATATCGCAAAGTAATTAGCTTGTGAAGCTATTTCCCTATGACATTACAGATCAAAAGAAAGTGGCAGGTAACCAGATGTGCTAACGGGGAGGCCCCTGCCCCAGGGACCTCCTGCCTGTCTGCTTCCAGGAGAGGGTAACACAGGAGCCCAGCAGGAGGCTCTGCAGACAGGCGGCACCCCACAAGGAGATTTTAATTGTGTGTGGCTTGCTGGATGCCAGGTAAACACAGCACACATGCCTTCTTTCATTTATTTTTCTGCCCAAGAACCAGTAAACACAGAGTTACTCCTGTACTGAGCTGAGTAAAATAAGCTGACTGAGAGGATACACTGGCCTCAGTTTCAACAAATGCGTTTGGCACCAAGCCCTGCAAGGGCTCCACGGAGCAGCTTTGGGGGAGACCTGCCTCCACGTACCCTACCCGACACATCCTGGGATCCCCGTTTGGGGTACGAACAACAGGAGAGCATTGATGCATTTTTCAAAATCCAGCAGGAGGGAGCCGTGGGCTGTGGATGCTGGCTGGGAAAGCTCCTCGGGCACAGCCCTGTGGGCAGGGAGGGGAGGAGGGCTCAGCCCCCACACAGGCCGCCTGGCACCAGGAGTCACAGGCCTCAGCCTTGGGATGTCCCCAGAGCTCCAACCGCCACTCTTGCAGAAGCGGCCCAGCAGGGTGAGGGCAGGGCCGCGTGGGGCTCAGCTGCAGGAGGGACGCCAGGGCCTGCACTTCTCCCCCACAGTGACCTTGGGCAGCGCATTCATTCTCTTTGGAGAAGTTTCCTCGTTGGTGAAATGAAATCACTACTTGGCTTCACCCACATAATGTTAGGCAACGAACTGCAGCCCAGACAACCTCAGACCCTCAGGAAATCAACAGAGGGGTCCCGGCTCCCTGCACAGGTCTTGGCCTGACTTGGGACGCCACTCAGGGCCCTCGTCTTCCCATCCTGTGCCTGTGTCCTCGCGAGGCCCCAGAGGTGCTCTTGTCCCTTCTCTTTCAGCCCCTCAGCCAGTGGGCAGCACACAGCCACCCAAACACAAGAGGCCAGGACCATGGACACCAGGGGGCACAGAGCCCAGGCCTCCGTGATCCTAGGAACGTGCAGCATCCGGGACATGCAGAGGAAAGATGGAGACGTGGGGTGAGAGGAAGCTGAGCAGGGACGCAGGCCCCCCTCGCATCACAGGCCTGCCTGGCCAGAACGACCTGCAGCAAGAAGCCAACCCAGCTGCTCCTGTCCCTGAAAAGCCCGGAGAGAGGGCTAGCAGGGAGGCTGGTGCCTGGGTCAAGAGAGGGGCTACTCAGTTCTTCCAGAACGTTCCAGCGTGGCCCATGGACGCCAGTCTTCTGGTGTCCATTCCGTCCTGTGTCACTTCAGTTGATGGGCTGCTTGAGACCAGAACCGCCCGAATCCAGAACCGCCCACTACCTTCTGTGAGGCTGTGGCCAGAAAGCGAGCCAGACCTCTGAAGCTGCCTGGGCCCGTCCTGACCCAGGAGAGTCTGGCTGTGAAGGAGGGTAAAGGAGGAAGCCAGGCCTGGCACAGGGACAGGGTGGGGACCCAGTGAGATCTCCAGGGAGGAAGCCAGGGCTCCCACACTGGGGCTGCTGTTCTCCAGGAGGAACTCCACCCAAGGAGAGTTTGGGATTGTCATGAGAGACAGGACTGTGTTTGTGCACAGTGCAGAGCATCAGGTACCAGCCGGGGGCCTCAGGCCCCAGGGAAGAGAGTCACCCACCAGGCCAACTAGGAAAGGTGAAAGGTGAAAGGTGAGTGCCCCTACGGCAGAAAGCAAAGCTGAGACAGCATCGCCAGCTGAGGGAGAAACTGACAGATGGCAGTTCACCAAAACCCAGAAACTGGTCATTCTCTGGCCTTTAACAAACCAAAGTGTATTTCTCTCTCTGAAATAAGAAACACAGGACAATTATTAAGTTCCAAAAGTACGTTTCATTTTGGAGGCACGTCACTGGTCCCCTTTGGAATCATGAACCTCTTGTGAGCGAAACACCTCCCACTGCTGATTCTGACAAGACACCCGGGGCAGTTCCCCGCCCAGGTGGAGGCAGACAGGTGCAGAGCCACAGGGCCACCACTGCAGATCCAGGCTTCTCTCCAACCCCAGGTGCACCCACGCTTATCAGGGACCCGGCGCTGCCTCCCTGCACCCACACGGCTCTCCACAGCAGCAAACGGGGTACATTAGGGTGGACGGGATGTGGAGCCAGGGCCCTGCTAGGGCTGGGGCAGCCTGTGGAGGGCCAGCACCAAGCAGTTCTGGGTTTGCAGGGCGGCCCTGTGTCAGCTGTTCGACACACGGGGGAGGCACCTCAGATGGCTACAGGTTTGATTGTGTCCCCACAAAACTTCATATGTTGAAGTCCTAACCCCCAGCACTGCCGAATGTGACCGTATTTGGAAATGGAGTCATCAAAGATATCATTGGCTACATTAAGATAAGGTTATAGGAGAGTAGGGGGACCCCTAGCTTAATAGGACTGGTGTCCTTATAAAAAGAAGGAAGCTGGACACATCAGGGAGAACGCCATAGGAGGACAGAGGCAGAGATTGGGATGAAGCTTCTCTAAGCCACGGAGGGCGGCCCGGAACCTACCGTTCCCTCACGGCACTCGGAGGGTGGCCCGGGACCCACCCTTCCCTCACGGCCCTGGGAGGGCGGCCCGGAACCGACCCTTCCCTCACGGCCCTCGGAGGGCACTCACCCTGCCCACACCTTGACTTAGGACATGTGGCCTCCAGAACCTATGCAGTGAGTTGCTGCTGCCTGAGCCTCCCAGCCTGTGGTGCTTCCGTGTGGAAACCAAGCAAACTCCTCCAGGCACGTTCACAGCCGTTGGCAAGGGCCTCCGACACTGCCCAGGGTCACCCGTCACCTCTGCCCCTTCCCACCACTCCCCAGCCCAGGTGCCACGCTGTAAAAACAGCCTCAAAAAGCACGTGAGATCCACAGCTCCTCCAGGAGACTAGGCCAGCCCCAAGCACATCCAGAGAGGTGGCTCCTCCCTGGAGGCTCTCACCAAAGCCGCCCAAGACAGCTGCCATCCTCGCTCGCTCATCCTCGCCCGGAGCCTAAACCCTGACCAGCCAGCTCTACACATTTATGTCTTTTTCTGGCCTCACACACTGCCTAGAATGTCCAGTCAAATGTTGAGAAGTAGTGGCCAAAGCAGAAAGCCCAGCTTTATCCCCAGTCTTAGCAGGTACGTGTTTGCTGTTTCACGTTAAGATACTGGCTGGCAGCCGGGCGCGGTGGCTCATACCTGTAATCCCAGCACTTTGGGAGGCCGAGGCGGGCGGATCACAAGGTCAAGGGATCGAGACCATCCTGGCCAACATGGTGAAACCCCATCTCTACTAAAAATACAAAAATTAGCTGGGCATGGTGGCGGGCGCCTGTAGTCCCAGCTACTCTGGAGGCTGAGGCCGGAGAATCACGTGAACGTGGGAGGTGGAGGTTGCAGTGAGCCAAGATCGCACCTACTCCAGCCTAGTGACAGAGTGAGACTGTGTCTAAAAAAAAAAAAGATACTGGCTGGAGGTTTTTCACAGATGCCCCTCAGCAGATCTGGAGAGTTTCCTACTATTCCCAGCTTTCTGATGTTTTTTAAAATCATGAGCGGGTGTCAAAGTGTGTCAAATTCTTGTTCTGCCTCTATTGAGGTAATCATAAGGGGTTATTTTCTCCCTTACTTTGTTACTGTGGAGAGTGACACTGAGTGATTTTGAAGGTTAAACCGAGCTAACTTTCCTGAAGAAACCCCACTTGGTCATAATGTAATATTGTGTAGATATTACTAAAATTGGATCTCATCGGTTAATACTTTATTAGGCATTTCTGCATCTGAGTTCATAAGGGATATTGGTCTGAAGTTCACTTTTCTTATAATGTGCTTCTCAGTTTTGGTATTGATGTTGTACTGGCCTCGGAGAGAGAGTTGGGAAGTGGTCCCTTCATTTTCTGAAAGAGGTTTTATACCCTGGACATTATTTCTTCCTTAAATGTTTGATAGAATTTGCAGCAAAGTCATCTGAGACTGTACATTTCCTTATGGGTAGTCTCGTGTTTGTTTTTTGTAAGTCCAGTATTTTTTGTTGATACAGGGCTATTTCAGTTTTATATTTTTTCTTGTGACAGTTTTGATAATGTATGTTTTTCCTTTTTTTTTTTTTTTTTTTTTTTTGAGACACAGTCTCGCTCTGTCGCCCAGGCTGGAGTGCAGTGGCCGGATCTCAGCTCACTGCAAGCTCCGCCTCCCGGGTTCCCGCCATTCTCCTGCCTCAGCCTCCCGAGTAGCTGGGACTACAGACACTGCCACCACCTCGCCCGGCTAGTTTTTTGTATTTCTTAATAGAGACGGGGTTTCATCGTGTTAGCCAGGATGGTCTCGATCTCCTGACCTCGTGATCCGCCCGTCTCGGCCTCCCAGAGTGCTGGGATTACAGGCGTGAGCCACCGCGCCCGGCGATAATGTGTGTTTTTCAAAGAGTCTGTCCTTTGCATCTAAGTTGTAGGATTTATCAGGATAGACTTGTTTGTGATGTTTCTCTTAATGCAGGGATGCCATTTACTCTTATACTGGAATTTTTGTTTCCTCTTTTATCTCCTTGGTCCATCTTACCAGTAATTTATTTACCAGATCAATCTTCCAAAAAAAAAAAACTCTCAACATTGTCAATTTCCTTTTTATTTGTCTGATTTTTATTTTATTCATCTCTGTTCTTCTCTATCATCTTCTTTTTTCTACTTTGGTTTAATTCCTCTTCTTTGTCTAGCTTTTTAAGATGAAAGTTTAGATCACTTATTTTACGTCCTTTTCTTCTAAAGCAGGCATTTTAGAGCTATAAATTTTCCTCTAGCCACTATTTTAGTTGCACACCACAAATATTGATATGTCCTGTTTTTATGATAGTTCAAAATATTTTCTGATTCTACCTTGATCCACAGGTTATTTAGAAATATGTTCATTAATTTGCAAATATTTGGTGATCTTCTTCTTATAGTTTGTTATTAGCAATAATTAATTTGATGTTATTGTACTTTGAAACTTATTCAGATTCAGATTTATTTAATGGCCCATGACATGCTTTTAGTAAATGTTCTGTATGCACTTGAAAAACAAATGTGTCCCCCGTAGTTCCTGGCTGTAATGTTCTACTCACATCAATTATACTGTTGTTCAAATTTTGGATATACTTACTAAGTTTTATGTCAGTATGTTCTGCTCATTAATAAGACAAGGTGTCAAAATCAACTGTAATTGTAGATTTGTCTATTTCTACCCTTAGTTCTGCCAGTTTTTGCTTCATGTATTTTAAAGTTCTGTTATTAAGTATATACACATGTAGAACTATTTTATCTTGCTGATGCATTGGTCATTTATCATTATGAAATATTACTTTTTATCTATGGTAATGTTCCTTGTCTTAAAGGCTACTTTGGTATCAGTAGAGTGGTTCCAGCTTTCTCATCCTTAATATTGGCATGCTGTGTCTTTGGCTATCCCTTTACTTCCACCTGTTGGTATCTTCAGAGTTAAAATGCAAATCCTGAGAAAATCAGACAGTTGGGTCTTGTTTTGTTTTACAGTCTGATAATCTTTGCCTTTGTGTGTAATATTTAGTCCATTTATATTTACTGTGATTATTTTGGGGGTTGCTTTTAAAACTGTCATCTCAGCATTTGTTTTCTATTTGTCTTATTTGGTTCTTTTGCTCTTTGCTTTTCTTTTCTTGCCTTTTTGGGATTAAGTACATTTAATATCCCATATTATTTCCTCTGTGGACTTTATAGTCATACCTCTTTGTGCTATTACTTTAGTTCTTCATTTAGAGTAGCTATTCCCAATAAACTTTCTCTGATAATTGTGCTATTCAATACAGCCACTTAATAGTGAAATGTGACTTGTGCAACTGAAGAATTGAGCTTTGAATATTTAATTTTAACTTAATATTTAATTTTAGTTTAATTTTAACTTAGCTATTGGCTAGTCACTACCCTACAAAGTTTCAGAGATTACAGTACTTTTATCTGATAAAAATCTACCTTCAAATGATTTTATACTACTTCATAATGTAAAATCCTTACAACAGTAAAATTCCATTTTATCCCTCCCAAGCTTTTATGCTCACATAATTATATATTTTAATTCTACAAATGTTATAAATCCTTCAATGCATTATTACCTTTTCTATAAACAGTCAAATATTGTTAAAAAGTGTGGCAGGATGGAGAGAGAGTAAAGGAGCCTTTGCATTGACACATAACTTATTCTTTATTTTGCTCTTCAGTCATCCACGAACATTCAAAAGCTTCCACATGGGATCATTTTCCTTCAGCTTAAAAAGTGTCCAGATCAGTGGAAATTACAAAGAGACCCAGGCAGAAAATGTATGACTTTTGGAATTACAAAGACATCGCATTAAGAAAAGGAGCATTAGCTATGATCAAAAAGATGTTTTTATGATTTCCTGACACTATAAATTGAAAATATTTACTCCCCTTCAGGCAAAGTTAATAAGTAAGACCAATATTTATGCATAAACGGTTGATTTATCTTATTCCAAGAATATAAAGAATATTTTAATCTCACACACAAAACAAACATGTTATTTCCAGAGAAAGAAAAATCTCAAGGGTATGAATTAATTTCTCTATGGCAATTGACAAGGCAGCTACAGCTACCAAGTTTTGAGGTTGATATCTGTGGCCTCTGAGTTCTTAACCTCACAAAGGTGAATCACCCATGAATGAAATGCAGGTGTGTGAGCATGCAGACGCCATTCTACTCACATACCCTCTTAGAAAAATATACTTAAAGACATTTCTATTGATTTGAGACCTCAAGATAGGGCAAGGTATGGAATAAAACAAATATATTTGCAAACACTGATGTTAAAAGCAGAATTGGCTTACAGATTATTC